CAGGGACTTCCAACAAAATACATGTACATGTACATGTAAATTGTAAATTGTAAGTAGTTAGTTGCCGGATGGAGATGGAATCGTTCCCACCATCTGCATGTACCGGTACATACAGGCTTCCAGCTCGACATCTCCACGACCTTCATGCCCCCCCCCCCCCCCCCCCCAGGAAAACGCCGACTGTGCCATGGCATGGGCCTACATGGCTACAAATATGGGGCTCCATCATGTAGTAGTGCTACGTACTAATGATAGTGAGAGCGAAGGATGGAAGTATGGAAGTATGGAAGTATGGAAGTATGGAAGTATGGTATGCGGTTACTTTAGCCTAGGGGGAAGGTCTACTACCGGTATAGTGGTACATGTATTCCAAGCGAAGCTTGGGGGGGGGGGGGGGTGCTGACACACACACACACGCACGCACACTAGTCATGCACACACGAAACTACCTTTCCGGTGATCCATTACTTTGTAATCAGACTCCTGACACTAAGCTACTAAGCTACTACGTGTATATTAACATTAGCCCCATCCCTCACACAAACAAGTCAACAAAGAGGCATCTTTGGATTGAGGAGTGCTGGTTTCGAAACAACTGGTTTGAAGCTCAAAGTAGAGCTGGTGTTAGCTCAGAGCAGAGCTGCTGTTAGCTCAGAGCAGAGCTGCTGTTAGCTCAGAGCAGAGCTGCTGTTAGCTCAAAGTAGAGCTGCTGTTAGCTCAAAGTAGAGCTGCGGTTAGCTCAAAGTAGAGCTGCTGTTAGCTCAAAGTAGAGCTGCGGTTAGCTCAAAGTAGAGCTGCTGTTAGCTCAAAGTAGAGCTGCTGTTAGCTCAAAGTAGAGCTGCTGTTAGCTCAAGGTAGAGCTGCTGTTAGCTCAAAGTAGAGCTGCTGTTAGCTCAAAGTAGAGCTGCGGTTAGCTCAAAGTAGAGCTGCGGTTAGCTCAAAGTAGAGCTGCTGTTAGCTCAAAGTAGAGCTGCGGTTAGCTCAAAGTAGAGCTGCTGTTAGCTCAAAGTAGAGCTGCTGTTAGCTCAAAGTAGAGCTGCTGTTAGCTCAAAGTAGAGCTGCTGTTAGCTCAACGTAGAGCTGCAATGCTAAATGGATGTAATATAGCGCAAGGCAGAGCCGCAGCAAATAGCTAGATAACACCAGTTGTGAGAGTGGACCCGATTAGTGGGTACGATAATTATGATGGTGTGAATAAGTTGGATAGGGAGGGATGGTGGGAAAAGAAACACTGCTGAAGCACGATCCGTTGTCTGGAAGAGCACAACAGGGCAAGCAAGATTTGTTTTTCTTTTCCGCAAAATGGGCTGGTGCCATTTGTGATTACGCAGCAAAACAAAGCGCATGACGTCAGTCTTGAATGCAGTACAAAGCAATGCAGTGCAGTGTGTGCGCTAGTTCGGATTGTTGCTAACAAGTACTAGCACAGCTAGTACACCATTAATACAATGTCATGTACAATGTATGTGTTTCCACCTTATTAGTACTTACCCTATGTACTTCAAGTACATGCACATCATAATCATTGTAAGTCTCATCACTCGAAAAGCTCAGAGTGACTGGCCGAACTACTCGGGCCCAGTGAAATCTAATGGGCCACAAAGCATTACAATTTCTAAATCAGCTCAAAAGCATCAACCTCTAACTGCGAGAAACACAGTAAGCTCGACCTGGGGCCGTGGGGGCCAGATGACTTTGACGCTAGGCAGAATGGGTGCTCAACCAAGACTACAAGGCGAGCCAGTATTTGCCTCAAGTCACAGTGAGACTCACAGCACTGGCCAATCACAGTGTGAACTGTGAAGAGAGCAAGTCACAACCAGAGAGGGGGTGAGCGTGATCCCAAATAATTCACCGCCGCTGGCCCACCGAGGACTTCCAGGCCAGTCAGTGTGGCACTGGAGTTTCCACCAATAGGCTAAATTGTTGGGAAATCCTTCAAAGAATAAGCAGGCCTTGACGTCCTAGAAGTGGTACAGAAAGCCGTGGGGTGACTGTGCAGCAGTCATGCACAAATACAGAAATGTAATGGGAACTGGTCCAGGATACACTTTGGGTCGGATTTCACCCATTGCCACTGGAGCATACAGTATTCAACTGAGTAATGGTTGCATTGATGTCTACTGTACATGACTCTCGTCACTAGTCCAAGGACCATATCCGGTGCACTCAATCTCCGGACAGCTACATGTACAGTACATGTAGCTACTTCATTCTTCAACCATGTCAACCCCTCGTGGGAGTTCAGAGTGGCCGGCCAAGTCGCCGGATCGCAATAAGGTCTGGGGAGTTTTACAACGGTGAACGCAAAGACATAACTGGAAGTTTCCTCTAACAATTACATTCTTGGCTCTTGATTTTATACTGGGGTTTGATTCGGGCTCTCATAGTGTAATAATAACATCATTATTCTTAGCCATACACCTCTCTAGCAACGCTCTCTGGCGTCTGGCCGCACAGTGGTGAGGCATGAAACAGAAATTGAACAACTGCCCATACGGGGCACCGCAAACGTCAGAAATCACGGATTGAAAGATGGTGAGAAGTGGGTTTTCATAGGGAGAGCCTGAGGGGGCACAATGTAACAGTCAAAGGTAAAACAGTCATAATTCGCGACGTAACTCCCGAGAGCCGCTACCACCCGACGGCAGATGCAGCGCCCGGCAGGGCAAGGGGATGTACATGTAGATCTATGTACATGTACCGGTACATGTACATTGTTAGTCTCGCGGCTACTGGCACTACTAGCCACATCCTTGTACTTGTTGTAGCCCTTGAGCCTGGCCACAAGTTCCCAATTCACTACAATGACAAAGTGAGAAGGCAGGAAGACTGTAATAATGTTGTAAGTATTGTAAAGGATGACAACTGTGGCTAACTGAAGCCGGGGACACCATAGGAACTAACTTGTGAAGTGAGAATTAATGTTGTTAGTGTAAACTAACTTCACCAATGACTGAATGAGGAAGGGTCAACGGATGTCACTCTGAAATTCTATTAGCTGAGACCGGTCTCATCTGAACTGAAGAGACACCCTTTGAATTGCATTAAAGTATTGCGAGCGTGTGAAGTGTTCTGATTCACGATTCAAGAATACATGTACAAAGTACATGTCTTGGGCTTGAAAACCATTGGCTCGCTCTCACAGCCAGGGGTGCTAATGGCACTCTACTTTTTTTCTGGGCTGAGGCGAGTACGATAAAAAACGTGTGTTTAGTGTAAAGTCTCTCCTAGGCTCAATACAGTACAATCATGTAATGCTTATGTAGATCTACAAGTAATAGTTTTATAGTAATAGCTAAATAATTACCTACGTACGTGGACAACATGTACATGTACATGTACATGTACATGTACATGTATGTTAGATCTGTGGAATGCTAGTGCTCTGGATGGTTGCCATGGTAGCTGCACTATTGCCTAGTCAGTTGACCCTGACCTGGATCCAGTTTCATTTTTATACCATGCACATGTAGTTGTGAATCCCGCAGTTGCAGCATCTCCTCTTGAGAATGACTGTACCCGAAGCGGAAATTATGCATTTCGACTCCGAAATCGGAAGTTCTACATGTACATGTTGGGGCGAATAGATTGTCCCTTCCCCACGGACGACTGGAATGGGCAGCCCAACATCGTCCACATCGCAGTCTCCTGTAGGCTGTGTTATCTCCCTGGCCTTGATGATATTTCCTGTACTGAGTGACTCCCTTTAAAAATATTTATTTTAGTGTAAGGGGCCGTCCGTAAATATCGATGTTTTTTTAGAGACGATATTGGTGCTTCTCTCCCTTGACCCCCCTCCCTCCCCCCAGAAGACGCACATGTACATCTAGATCATGGAATCAATATTTTTGGATGCTCATGAAGTGCCCAGGATGTTGAGGGTCCGGTGTAGGCGTGAAAATCCCGCCGCACTCACGCAATAGCTGCATCGCCTGGGGGGAGCGAACCGGGTTGGCGCTGCAGTGCTCACAGCCACTGGTGTAGACAAAGCGGCTACGCTCGGGCTTGAATTTTTTCAAATCCTTGTACTTGTTCAGACAGTGAAGACTGGAAACTCTTGTGGAGTTCGTCCGTGTTTGTTCGCACTGCCTCGACGTCTTGAAAAAGGTCTCCTGCAGGCATCGTTCGGCCGATTTCCACAATCAATAGCTCATTCTTTTGCTCTTGAAATTCGCCATGGGCGTACAGCTTCCAATTTTTGATTTTGTTCTCGTGTCGCGAGTTTTAGCTCCGCGAACGGAAGCTGGTTTCACATTTCTTGTATAGCCATTTGGACGTCCGCGTGCAGGGATCGGCGAAACTTCAGATATTTACATCGATATTTTTCTGATGCTCGAAAAGACGCACATGGCTCAAACCCCCTCCCCCCCAGACGCACCAATATCGTCTCTAAAAAAACATCGATATTTACGGACGGCCCCTAACCGTGCTTGTGATCGGTGCATTATCCAACATCCTGTTCTGTCTGACATGAATGTACGGGGGGCTCCACCGTTTCATTCACAGGCCAGTAATGAAGATTCCATGATACCGGTAACCAAGCTAGGTCTTCAGAACATGCTTCCTCGGAAATTTAGAACACGGTACGTTACTCCTTGTGATCATCACATACAACGAGCCAAGTTTTAGTTTTCGAAGGAAGTACGTTCGGTGACATGCAGGCGAGCTTTGGGGATTTTCTTCATGTCAGCATGATTGAAGAATGAAGATGCCTACAGCGAAGATGATTTTCCTGGACAGCTTGGGGAAGTATTGGAGACGGGTAGCACTGACTAAAGTCATCGAAAGCACTAGTACATGTACATGTATATACACGTACAAGTATATGTACTTCCGAAGTACGTTTCATAGAGGCCAGATCTAGTTTTGGGGATTGCCACACGCTGCTATCACTCAGAACGGTAAAATTGCTGGTCATCCCGACCACACAGCGCTGGTCAGGACAAACAGGCGTGCATGCGCATTTCGCATCTCATTCAGTGTAACAGGACGGTGGCTTGGAGAGTAGATATACTGGTGGAAACAATCAACGTGATAGTGTCAAGAGGATTATTATTATCATCGAATCAAGTACTAGCACGAACGTTCATATAGTTTTGTGCAGTATTCTCATCCTACAATCTATCAAGTATGAAAGTCCCGTATGGTAAACTCACCATGCTCAAGAACACCGCTGTACAGTCTGTTGCCATGGTACTAACAATGCTCAAGAACACCACTGTACAGTCTGTTGCCATGGTACGAACCATGCTGAAGGACACAGTTGTACAACATGTTGCCATGGTACTAACAATGCTGAAGAACACAGCTGTACATCCTGTTGCCATGGTACTAACAATGCTGAGGAACACAGCTATACAGTCTGTTGCCATGGTACTAACAATGCTGAGGAACACCGCTGTACAGCCTGTTACCATGGCACTGAAAGAATCTAACCGTGGCAGCAGTGACCATGCCAGAACTGCAGCAGCTACTTCTGCGGTTTGCGTGCTGCAGTAGCGGCCGCCGTGGCTAGCTTGGCCAGGGCTTTCTGTTGCTCAGCACTTGGTCGCTGATGGGGAGGAGGGAGAGGCTTGGCTGACTTGCTTGCCTTGCCTTTTGATTTGTCGGCCGATGTGTCCTTGGTCTTGGATTTATCCGCTGCTATATCTTTCGACTTTGGCTTATCCACTGGAACTGGCAGGTCCTTCAGCTTGGGTCTGTCGGTCGTGCTATCTTTAGACTTGGGTTTCTCACCTGCAGTGCTATCCTTCAGCTTGAGTCTGTCAGTCGTGCTATCTTTAGACTTGGGTTTCTCAACTGTGGCGCTATCCTTCAGCTTGGGTCTGTCAGTCATGCTATCTTTAGACTTGGGTTTCTCAACTGTGGCGCTATCCTTCAGCTTGGGTCTGTCAGTCATGCTATCTTTAGACTTGGGTTTCTCAACTGTGGCGCTATCCTTCAGCTTGGGTCTGTCGGTCGTGCTATCTTTAGACTTGGGTTTCTCAAGTGCGGTGCTATCCTTCAGCTTGGGCCTTTCCACGACGGCAGGATCCTTCGGACGAGGCCTATCCATTGTGGCATCAGAAGCAGTGCGGTCTTTCACAGTTGGCTGAGCTGACGGGTCACTGTCTCCGCCGCTAAGGCCGGTTGCCGTAGGTCTAGACTTGCCTCTCGGCAATGTCGGCAATGTCGGAGGTTGCAGCGCTGCACTGGTTGGCGGAGTGGGTACGTGCGGCTTGGATTTAACTTCTCTCGGTTTAACGTTAGGCCTAGGTGATTTGCTCCCATCCAGTTCACCACTAAAGGATTGTGCTCTGTTGGTAGGAACGGGTGCGAGGGCAGCTTTCACCGGGAAAGCAAAAGCGGCGGCAAGGCTTGGGCCGCAGATGTTGACGGATGTCTGCCAGGTAGCCGGATCCTGGTGACGTTTGATGTGGGCTTGATACGTTTCATCAGAACCAGTGGTGCTGTCATTCGTACTCGTGGCGGAGCTGCCATACGTGCTACTAGCAGAGCTGCCGTAAGTGCCGGTATTGGAAGTGCCCTGAGTGCTGGCTGTGGTAGAAGGAATGTCGTAAGTGCTGGAGCAGGCAGTGACAAGAGGTGGTGTTGGCGACCTACCGGGGCGTGGTAGGGGAGCAGGCTGTCTTCCATCAGTGAAAGACATATATGTGTGCTCTGTCTGCTCATTCAGCACGTGTAAGTCACTTTGCAGCACCTTCATCTCCTCCATCTTGTCTGGGGATGGAGAGTTGGCTTCCACGTAGCCAGAGCAGAGAACTGAGTCCTTGTTACGACGTACCCACCCTTCCTTGGCCTCGGTGTACCCACTGGCATCCTGTTTCGGCGGTGGAAGCGCAGCTGGTTTACCATGATATGTTGCCGGTGTGGCGTTGATATCCTTAGCTATGCCCGGGTACGTGTCGAAAATTGCATAAGGACTAACGTTTGTGAACTTCGCGTCCGATTGTGAGTGGTCACCTCCGGTGGTGTCTGCTGCAGATTGCTGGCCCCTGCGTACAATCCCTCGCGGCGTGGCATATTCACTTTCCTCGCTTTCGTCGTGTGGAATGCTCCTGCCTTCCAAGACAGTAGGCGAGGGAGTCTCGTTATCGTCAACGGATCGTTCAATGACGGTGTCGTATGCTACTGACAGGGGCCGAGGGTTTTGGGGGAAATCATCTAGCAAGAACTCCATTGACTTAGACCGGTGAGCTCTAACGCGTACGCCCTCAGCAGTCCCTTTCAACGGCTTGGGAGAAGTTGCTACAACCTGTAATCCTGTGAACCAAGCAGAGCACAAAGGGAATCAATTCAAAATTTGTTTGCCACCTTAAACATATATTTAGACTTTTCCCACATTGAAATTCATCAATTTCAATTTCCGACAGACAGCAAAGACTAAAATCAGGAGGCTGAGAATCTTGCATATTAAATTTTGTGAATAAGACTAGTACATGTTTATTGGCCGTGAATGGCATGATCCATGAAACTGTGAAGAAATTGCAAAATGAATAAGACAGTGTTCAAAAACTGAGAAGCCCAGTCAGTTTAGATAGATAAGGAAGTCAAGGCAAGGGTCAACGAAGCTCAGACAGGAGGGGGTAAAATACGCCCAGCTATTGGATGCATTTTCACGACTTACTTGGCGCGGAGATGGCTCTGGGACTCTTCATATGCCGGCGCTCACCTGCCCCAGCCACTGATAGGTGAGTATGGTCATTTGTTTCGGAGCCGGCTGGCAAAATTGACAGCGTCTCTCCGGCGTCTTTCAAGCGAAAAGCACCACTGAGCAAGCTCCCGCTCTCTTCCTCATCAGTTTCATCCCCATAGCGTGTCGTCATGCTACGCTCATCAAGCATCTCTGCAATGAGAAGGATGTTGGACGATGCTATGTGGAAAGATCTCTCATTGTCATACAGCCTGCACATTCAATATTGGATAGAAAACAATGATAAGAAAGTGCCAATGCAGGTGTATTATTCCTGCACACTACACATACCAAACTGCAGGAGTAACAAACTATATTCTCCTTACAGTCCTTCATGTTGAAAAGGGGTTTAAAGGGGAAATCCGGTGAACATTGAAACTTCCTGGGGTCCGTAGAGATATTTCGATTTGACTTAGCGAATCCCGGGGCTGCGCCATGACGTGCGGCTGCGACACACCCTCTGCAACATCATTGCGTGCAGCTCGGTCAAAAGGAGTGAGTTACAGCAATAGTGGCAATGGTCTTGGTCTGAAGAAGCTGCGGCAGACGGTTTCCCAATCGAACGCGTTTCCAACATTTTATACACAAGTAGATGGCGTGGCTACCTGGCTGCACGCTATGACGTCATCACCTGGATGAGGTAGACTGCGCACTCATGTTTGATTGGAAATATCTGACGAAATATGGACCGAAGCCTCCTCGGACAAAGACCATTCGACTCAGCGACCCAAACTCTATGGGCCCTGAACATTTCATTTTCACCAGACAGCTCATGGGAAACTGGTGTAGGCTTGGTCCGCGCATGCTCAATGCTCAAAGAAATGCCTCCTGCTCTTCTCCAACTTACATCACAACGTCTATTGTCTCTGAATCGACGTTAAAGATGTACTGGTCGATTTCCTGGTATCCCCACGTGTGCACAACCTCCATGCTGTCAACATCGAGCAGCTCCAGGTTTGAAGCGGTCAGGCGGCACAGCCAATGTCCCTTGATACTGTCTTCCGGTTGTCGGCCGCTTGGTATAATGTCGACCGGTATCAGAGTGGAGTCTCCTGCAAGCAGACGAGCATTCAATGTGAGAGAAAGAAGAGAGCCACGTCACAACCATGGCATGCAACATTTCAGAAAGAAATATTTCTCGAACTCCTCTATGCACGATGCACACATTCGGTAGAAGACGTACACACACTCCAATCCTCTCCCTTTCATCTTGTTTTCTTGGTGTTAATCGGAATGTCCTGAGCACCCCATCTAGCAAGAGCGCCCCACCTTGATCCACGGGAAAGGAAGTCTTTATGGCTGAGTTCAACAAAGGTCATAATGACAAGAGAGTCTGAGTGTACTATACACGGAGGTGATCCAGCACCTCACTGTTTTGTGTGCACCTCACTGTTTTGTGTACACCTCACTGCCACTTGAAAGGTGACTAAAGAGTGAGTACGGATTTACCACGGGCCGTGTACAATGTGTCAAACCGGTCGCGTACTACATGTATCATCTCCCGGTATTTCACTACTCCCTGCTGATCTGTCGGCACCATAATCAGTAACAAATTACCATCATCTGTACTCTCCTAAGTTAACCTCGGGTTATTTTCGACTCTTGATTCCTTCATGCCTTTTACTTTTTTACTGTTTCGGATATTTGCCGTGGTTGGCTATCAACCTCCCTTCATTTACCATTCATTTGTCACTGGTAGTCGTTTGACGGGCCACGAAATGTTGAATAAATACAAATTTGTAGTGTATTGTATTTTATTATTTTACTTGGGCATTCCCAACAGACCCTAAGGTCTTACAGGGTGCCCAAGATGAATGAAATTGTTAAGTTCCTGGCGAAATAAATTGGGGATATGATTTGTGCGAAGGGATTCGGGAAGCGCATTAAAGCGGTCAGCACCAAGGAATGGTATAGATTTGTATCCAGCTTGAACTTGCACAATGGGTAAATAAAGGGAATAATTGACTTGGCCGCGGGTGACTCTATCTGTGTGAGCGCAGTCACGGCGAAGGGAGAACATGTCAGAGAGGAGTGAACTGCAGATATTGTGGATGCAACGGAACCCGAAGAATATGGATTTAGTATGGATATCTTTTGTCTAAGCTAATTATGTGGTACCTCTCAAGCAATTATGATGTGCGCGTGAATGTGCCATGCTCAAATATGCATCTAAGTGCTCTGTTACTTATGCCTAGCAGCTGATCTCTCACAGTGTCAGTGAGACGGTGTACGTAGGCAGTGCTGGCGTACTCCAGCTTGCTTAGGACTACTGACAAGTATAACTGCCTTCTGGCCTGGACAGCAAGGTTCCTCCTTCCACGTCGAAAAGCACCTAGTTTCTTTCTGATATCTTCTCTCAGGGAATTAACGTGGGCACTGAAACTTAAAGTTGAGTCGAGAGTCAGTTCCACGTACTTAACTTCGCACAACTACAAACTACCAGCTAGCATCAGACTACTCAGTATGGCTTACCAGGTTCCAGCTCTTGTGTATCTGCTGTAGACTGAGTCTGCGGTGAGTTGAGCTGTTCAATAAGCATTTCGGCTTCGTCACAATGAAACACAAATGAATTGCCATTCTCCTGGTTCCTGGAGAGGAAAGGTGCATAGAATTCGGAACAAATTTAGAAACTACACAAGTGGAGCCATCTCTTTAGGTTCATGGAAGCTTGTGAAAGCAACAAACGCCACTCTTTAAAAGTACATGTGGATAGTCATCTAAATGAATATCTGTGCGGGCAGGTTACTATAAGGTTAAAGTCCAAGTTACTGGCTCCTGGGTCGAAGCCTTTTTTTTCAAAGCAGATACTGCATGAACCTGGCAGTCAGTAGAGTGGATAGGTTTCCAAAATGAGTGGCCATTAAGTTTGGTATTTGTTGAGGGCAAGGTCTCAGTAACAAAGCAAAACACCATGAATTGCTGACACCCTGCCGGTGGCTGGGCTGTTGCCTGCCGGTCACTTACTCATGTACGGTCATATACTCTTGCTTGTCCAAGCTGACAGTTATGTCGGCGGCGAGGCTCCACATCATCATCGGTGTGTCTGTAGTGCAGTCCAGGAGTGTTAATGAGCCAGCAGCAGCTTTCAGGTGGTAACTCTCTCCCATTGTTAGCATGGACGTGCCTTCCGGATCGGAAATCGACTCGAGGCATGCCCGGAATTGGTCTAGAAATGAACAGCGGGTCACGCCAGAAATGTACAATACCAGTATAACCAAACCAGACTGTGTGAATTGCCAAGTGCATCACTCACACTACCACAATACTACACGTGTAATTTCTTGTGAGCAGTCAACAGTTGCTGATCGCCAACAACAATGACAATGGGAAACACACGCCAATCGATCCAGCAGCAACATTGCTGACTCAGCAAATGGCTCGTCAAACCACGATCCTAACTGAAGTATGTTTTAAACTATTTCAGGAACACTGAAACACTTACCTTCGACTATGGGGCTGGAAGTGGACCGGTACACATCGTGTGAGTGTGACTTGGCAATCTTCAATCTCTGCTTAGGATCCAATTCAGCAGGCAGCGATGCTCTACTAGAGAGCGCGTCATTGCTGGGAAATGATGTCCCAATAATCTCAACTTTTGCAGCGGCCAATATCGAGCCAACCGGAGATTTCAAGGACTCTGTATCGTTGGATGTTATGGAGCCCGTCGATACGCGCCGTTTGGAGCTTCTCCGACTGCGCTTTGGCAGTGTGAGGGCCTTCCAATCCGTGGCCTTCGCCTGGAGGTGAACCATGACTATACTGAGCATCGTGTTTGCCGATTTGTGTATGATTTGGAGAACTTCCACTGGGTGTGCTTGTTCACTGCAGTTTCACAACGGCACAAAGACAAATTCAGTGTCCAACCTCTGCCGAACCAAACTGCACGGTCATGTATAGGAGAACCCGCATCAAGTCCACACACATGGCAATCTTACGCAGGTCGTATCCATGTACCTGTACTTGGCCAGTCTCTGTACAGTAAGGCATGCCATGCACAAATCAAACAAGAAGAGTTCACGTGGAGAGTCACATGTGCTCTTAATATCTACGTTCATTTTTCTTCTTCTTTTTTTTTGGTGCGTTTTATGTCCCCATGACGCCGAGACCTCAGGTCGGCTGAGGGCAAAAGCCTCATCGTCACTATGCTCTCACATGCAATTTTTTTGTCTTTGCCTGTGAGCTGTGATCATTGTAAAAATACTTCAAAGTAATAATAATAAAAAATGCAACATGGCATGTGAATGGGACTCACTTGTTGTGCGATTTCAGGATGAACATCAGCATGTCGCCGATCTTATCCACGGTTTGTTGCTCGACATGGATCAGCTCCTCCAGCTCCCATAGATCCATTTCGCCAGCAGAGCCACTCAATTTAAGACCATGCGCACCCAGCTGGAGAGTGCACTCTTTGCCGGAGATTCCAAGCCGTTTGGAGAGAAGTGTGTCCACAGCGGTGCAGGTGAACGTATCTTAAAAGGAAAAATCCCCAAACGTGAATAGTGGCAGGGATTATACACACACACACACACACACACACACACACACACACACACACACACGCACACACACACACACACACGGGATTGTGTTGCTAGTCTGAGTTGCACGCCCTCAGAGTGATCGGCAGTCAACCGACACAATTCCTAACTTCCCAAGGTATCCCCCCCCCCCCCCTATATATGTGTACCCATGTGTGCGCACGCACGCGTGTGTGTGACCTTGAAACCTTGAAACTGCCACCTAAGGGTGATGCAGTGCCTCAAAGAGGCAAGGAGGACAGAGTTACTTCTTGCATTTGTGTTGAGCCAGGTACTGGAGATGTGTGAACTTCCGAGAGCAGGTCGGGCATGTGATGGTGCAGCAATCGGAGCCAGAGCTGCATGTTCTGCGGTTTGCTCCGGAAACAGCGGTCACAGGTGTAGCAGTGGTACTGACATTGGCTGCAACCAGGTGGGCGAGGTGCAACTACCTCTGGAACTGGAGTGTCACCAAGGCTGGGAGAGCAGCTGTGTACAGCAAATCCACCTCGGCTAGCAAACTAACTACGGCACATTTCGCACGACACAGCACCGGACTGTTCATGGATTGGCTTCAGTCGCTCTTCCCTGCATTTGTGCTGACAAAGTCCGCTTTCACTGGCGAAGAGTCGCTCACAGACCACACAACATACTGACTTGGCTGTCGTTTCAAGGTGTAAGCGCCGTGCAACAATGGCATCCGAGATGGACTGGATCCACTCGGCATGTTCAGCTGCGAGGTCGCACACACACACACACACACACACACACACACACACACACACACACACACATCACACTTTCCCCCGTAAGTTATCTACCCCCCCCCCCCCCCCCCCCGTGTATTTTCTGTAATCTTTTGTTTTCGTGGAGCGCTAGGGTTGCAATGAAGCCGAGACCCTATGATTCGTCAAGCTGCCCCTGCCTCTCCTCCACTTCTGCCATTCGATATGTCTCATCGCTGCCTTGCTGCTTTGTGCCGTCAAATGGTGTGTGTCTTTTTGTAAAGCAAAAACAAGCACACACACAGCATGCCATACTCTCTTCTACAATGAGTGACCATTGGTGGCATACAAGGACCAAACAACGTAGATTACCAGTAGTGATTTTCCCTCTTAACACAGCGGTGAAAAATATTGTACTATCACGTTCAAGTATATAGATCGAAGGCCACACACATCTGGCTTGCTATAGTGAGGAGATTGCCCATTTCAGTTTCTGTGGGAGGACTGTTAGCTTTCATGTGATGATATGCATCCGTAGTATTCCTTACCTCTCGTATTTTCAACATACGTTGCGCACTCCTCCTCGTCATCCTCATCCAGGTCATCCAGTTCGTTCCTGGGCGAGATATCCTCTCTTGACAGAATCATCTGTTGCCGAATGGCCTCAACCCACTTGTCTCGGTCCTTGCTGACTTTGCAGCTGATCTCCATGCGCTGCCCGAAAGCACAGACCTATGCAGTAGTGAAAGCGACAACGAGCGACGACTGTTCAGCTGTCAAAGATCATGGAGAGCATTAGGCTGGGATTGCACAAACCTGTGCATTAGCTGCACGGACGTCCTCTCTATTACTGTATTGGGCAATCTGTACACCTGGCCCATAAATTCTCTCACGGTCAAAATTCCAACTCGAATGGCACACAGTATGTTTTCCAGTATAATAGTACACATATTTATATACTTAAGAGCCACTCATCCAACTCGCAGGCCTTATAAATACAAAGGGAATGAAAAGATAAAAAGCGAACAGTATGGAAGGAAGGAAAAGACCAAGACAGAGTGAATAGGACAGCAATTGAGTGGAGCTGCACACGCAGTCACATTATGATTCGAATGGAACTACATGTACCCATGCCATCAACTGCCATACAATGTATATCGCAAGCAAGCAAAAGTCGCTGAGCTTGGACCATACCTGAAATCCGTATCGTTTCCTATGTGTCTCCTGAGTGATTTCGACTTTCAGAAGTGAGGACATACTCAGCACCTTGGTTGGACTGCTGAAGTTACCGCTGGTCGGGTAGAACTCCAACACTGCTCCCAGGCCAGTTGTAGTGCGTGCCTTGCGCAGAATGGCATACTCGCGGGACACACGCTGAGAATAACACGACCAGAACAGGTAGTGGTGTTCAGGGGGCGTGTGTTGGGGGGGGGGGGGGGGGGTAGGAGTACTTTCCTAACCTGGTTGTGTTTCAAAAGACAAGTTTATAGGCGGTGGTAACGTCGGTGTGCAAATTTTGCCTACCGTATTTTACCAGTTGTAAGTCGACCCCGGTTATAGGTCGACCCCGTATCAGGAGGTCGCAATTCTGCTTTTCAAAGGTATCCCCCGACGAAGCACTACTAACTACTCCCTGCTACTAACACATCAACAAATCATGTAAACATTCCTTATTGGAGGGTATAATGTCCCAATCCTTGAAAAGGCCAATAAACTGGCCAAAATGTGCACACATGGTGCACTCGTGCATGCAGTGCAGGTAATGTTTTGTAAGATACTGATAGTTCCCGGTTATGAGTCGAATCCCGATTGTAAGTCGACCCCCACCCTTTCTCCTTCTACTTTTAGTCGTAAAAGGTCGACTTACAACCGGAAAAATACGGTATCTACTTCTTCTTTAGAAAAAAAATTATTTACATGTTTTAGGATGGACAGTGTGAGTCTCTACTAGACTGGGCCATGGGCTCATTCCTATGTTGAATGTCTGGGATGTGCAAAAGTATCTAAGTCACCATCCAGGAACAACAGTACCCCCAACTTTATCATTTACTGTCTTGTCGGCTTTCCAGTCCGCGCAATCTAAGATAGGATGAAATGGGCAGACTACATCAACTGATAAAGACTATTAACCAACACAAAATGAATAAAAGAGCGACACTCCCCCATGGCACGTTTCACCGTTCTGGACACCATAATTTTACGTAGGAAAGTGCATGTGAATATTGTTGTTCTCAACATTCTCATCTTGATAGTCATTGTGTGCAGACAATCAGGCATACCGGTACCTACTTTTGTCGACAGGAACGTTCTTTCAGCGGCTGTGACAAACACGAAACCCTGCATGGCTGCATCGTGCGTGTTGTGCCGGACTCTTGGCGGATCCACAGGAGATTGGGATTTGGGTTTCGGTGCGCCGCTGTTCGGTGCTCCGGAACTAGTAGTAGTACTAGTACTAGAAGTAGCCTGAGCGTCCAGAACGGAACCTGTAGGTTCCGGAGTTCCCGGCGGAGATTGCATCTTCTTTCCATCCATTTCCAGCAGAGCACTCGGCTGCAAATTATTTGATGTAATGGATGCACTGGCTGAGGCAGATAGGGCTCTTCTCGACTACTTCGCCCAGAGATTCGTGCCCATTAATTTAGCGCTTGTCAAACCTCTCTTCGCTGAGGTGTCGCACTTGGGCACTGCATCAGTGAGCAGCAGTACACACAGTACATGTAGGACAGCAGGTCTGCTAGCAATAAGATTAATACACACACCTTCCCTCTGCAGTTTTCAAGTGGCCGTCGTGGCGCAGCAAGGGCACTGATATGAACTGCAGAGAACAACACACACTTGACTCGTCTTGCCAGTCAACCGGCCTCAGATGTTCTTGCAACTAAACTAACTTTGTAACGACGAGGCCGTTGAAAAATGCCTTTCGTTTCCCTACAATAACGATTCGTATATCCCTGGTCGATTAGTTTTGATCTTAGTTCCAGATAAGACTGTTTCATCCGGGACGGGGAGCAGGAATACTAGCTGTGAATGTCCAAAACCAATCCGGAGAAATGGAACACACAAACTGAAGATCGGGACAAATGGGCTTGTTGCCGAGAGGAAATGCGCCAAGCATGTAACAACACTCAACAGTTTGAGCCTTTGACCTGGATTTATCGGGGAGGAGCAGGAAGCTCGGCTGATTTCGTGGACAAGGTCGGCCAGCTCGCAGGTTCAGTGCACTAGTGGTGGACACGCGACAAGATTTACAAGATGCACATGAATGAATAAAGTCGGCCTGCACGATACGACATAGTCATTACGAGCTCTGCACACGGAACTGGGCCAACACTGGTATGGCTAGTTCATTTTGTACTAACTAAAGTCTTGGTCAAGTCTAGCAGCGTTGGTGGCAAGATATTCCAACACTGCCAGATATCCGCGAAGTGCGCTAGTCGAGTCGTGGTGGTCGTGTGTCGATCAAGTCCCGTGCAGAGTCTGCCGATGCGACTGCGACTGACACCTGCCGAAATGTGTAGCGCAGCCCTGCATGCCGCACAGGGATGTCCTGGTCCAATGTTTGTAACCGCGACGCAGCTACAGTACCTCAGCGCCTCAACGGCTCAAGCATCTGATTGATGGCAAGAGCATGACTTTTTGTATTATTTTGCAAGGAACGTTATTCAGCAGTATTTTTGGCGTGCATACCTGCACTCGCGCTGACTACAACTACAACGTACAAGCAGGCTAGTGTCGTAGTGAGTCTGTGAGTGTGACGACTCCCCTCTCCATCTGATCCGCCATCCCAAGACCATTACTGGCATTAGTAGGCATTACCAATGAGTAAAGCTGGGGCCAGCGAGAAATCTCGACAAACTGCGGGGGCCGGGCCGGGCCAAGCAAGGACATGAACGACCAGGATGACTAGACTGTAATCAGGTAATGACTGTCTTCGAGACTTTGACGTCCGAGGCGCATCTTCAAGCGGGTAGCGTGGCCGCCGCACTGGCCGGCCACTTATGCAGCCCGGATTTGACTTTTTGTAGCCCAAACTAAAAATGTGTACTGCACCAGCATAGTACGCCTAATGCCTAGTGTAGCCCTCGAGCCTCGCCGACATCTCGTTTTAGCTGATACGCCACGAAACCCGGACCTGCCGTTGTATGTAGCCTCTACCACACTACAAAGTCTACATAACCGTGGTAGGTGTGCCCAGGGGATCTCTCGCAGGTCTGGTGCCCCTGTTTATACTACGCGGTGTCTGCGCTGCTTCGCCCTCCATTGAGACGCTTCCTGGTGAGGGTGGACCTTCAAGTGCTGCTAGTCACTGAGTCAGAGTGGGATTACTTCAACTATCTGCATACCACACAGAAATCTAACGTTACTACAAGAGCACATGTCCGATGACTGGAATGTCAGTACATGTATTAAAACAATTTGTTATAGTCTTTACCTTGCTGCTAGGGAGGGCCCAAATATGCCCAAACATTTCGCATAATTATTATGCTCTTCGGCCACTTCCTTCAAAATATCCTTCGAAATCACCCAAACGTAGAAAATATGCTTGAAATATGCTTGCCGCCCGAAAACACTGCTATTGCAGTATTGGTAGTTACAATGTACATGTACATGTATGAATAGGGGTGAGCGGATTATGCTCGGAAAATGACCAGATTATGATCTAGCGGATGCTCGCAGGATGCTCGAGAAAACAGCCAATTATGCTTTTACATTGTACTTGAAGTACGTGTACATGTATATCACTCATCACCAAAAAGACCAAACGAACAGACAATCGTCATGAAAAAAGGACTCAGACGGCATTGTCATGATGTGGACTGGGAGCTTTGTGGAAGTACAAGACAATAATATGCAAGAGGAATGCCAAATTTACAAGCAAACGCTGAACTTTTGGGAGATGTCCTATACTATAGTGGCTGCTAAAATATTATTCCAAATCGACAAGAAGCCCTACAATGTATGTACGGTCCTTCGATAGCAGGTGTGTACTAACAGCCTCATTGGCCACCTGTCCTTGCTTTTCAGATGCCATTTTATGCTCCTTCTCAAAAAGGATCTGATTACCGTATTATCTCTAATATACATGTACATGTATATGCAAGCACAGTCTCCAATAATAGCACGTCTCCAAGGGGCGGCATTCAAAAAATAAAGTGCTCAGTCTCCATTATAAGCACACTGTGTAAATTCATTATCTGTACTGGCGAAAAAACCCTGAAATGTGTGTGTCTGACATGAATTTGGCATGGCAACATGCCTCTGAAATGAGGTTGAACTAATAATGGAACAGTCTCCAATAAAGGAACGTCTCCATTAACGTTAATAGCACGGGGCGGAGGTACATGTACATTGAAAAAATAAAGGACCGTGCTTATATTAGAGATAATACGGTATGCCAAATGTAATGCCAGCATAATCCGCCTACCCCTACCCCACATCATCAGTAGGACCGTGTGCTTTAAACAAAACAACAAACTGAAACAGTACTACAGTACATGTACATGTATACTAGTAGTACTACACAATCAATCATGCAGATGCAATGCAGAGCTCAGCAGGCTGAGTCACGTGTTCGTCCGTGCAGGATCTAGGAGCTGATATGATGGAGGAAGCAGAGTGACTGTTGGTGCTTTAGTTTGATGCCTACTATTTAGTACTAAACGAGAAACACGGTAATGACGCATTCACACGATTCAGATCTGACATGTGAATGATTCCGATCATGTGAATGAGATCGGCTCCTGCCTTTTCTCGGACAGGGAAGATCTATAATAATTCTATTCATGCCACGACGGCCAGATCAAAGACGCTCGAAGACACTCAAACGAACTCTGTTTCTACATTCAGCATTTTCAGGGGATCACTCCGGCCCGTGTTTCTACTGCAAGGCCAGTACATGTACAATCAGAACGAGCAAGAGTACCAGAAACAGCAAGAGTACATACCAGTAAGCTGGGAGCTGACATGTTTTTACTCTTGGTACCAGCAGAAAAGAGGAGAAGAGAGGCAGAGAGAGAGAGAGAGAGAGGGAGAGAGAGAGGGAGGGAAGGAGGGAGGGAGAGAGAGAGAGAGAGAGAGAGAGAGAGAGAGAGAGAGAGAGAGAGAGAGAGAGAGAGAGAGAGAGAGAGAGAGAGAGAGAGAGAGAGAGAGAGAGAGAGAGAGAGAGAGAGAGAGAGAGAGAGAGGAGAGGGAGGGAGGGAGAGAGAGAGAGAGAGAGAGAGAGAGAGAGAGAGAGAGAGAGAGAGAGAGAGAGAGAGAGAGAGAGAGAGAGAGAGAGAGGAGAGAGAGAGGGAGAGAGAGAGAGAGACGACTGAGAGAGACGACTGAGAGAGAAAGAGAGAGACTCTAGGCGAAGCTTCTTGCTTCTACGCAGTCATCAGGCAGGAGACCCGTCTGGTGTTTGACGACTGCCTGCAGTCTGCACCTGGTTCCATGGTGGTTAGCACTATGACCTGTTGTCAAGGTTACCTGGTATTGTAATGGAATTGCATGATTTGCAGCGATGTGCAAAAGCGAACGAGATTGAAGCCGCTGTAAGGTAACCAACTTACTAACGTTAGTACTTGTTTTGTCACTTCCAAACTGTTCTGATTTCTTCACCAAACACCATAACACAATCATGTCGAGCTAGGGGTCTGGCGACTATTTATGGAATCTGAAATACACGTACTACATGTACATGAACATGTGGCTGTCACTCTGGCCGGGAATCTGGGATGCATCCTGGTATTTTAATATAAACGGTAGATGTTTGTGTAGTCTAGAGAAGTAACTTTCTGACGTTGTCAAGGCACTGCAATGTTTGTTACCTGCAGCAGATTGACAAATGCGTCAAATCCATGCGTGGCCTGACACCTCTTTGACGGAGTAGAGATGAATGTGTCTGAAGAGGCGTCTGCGATGACAAGACAACACTTTAAAACAGTCATGACTCGTACTAACAAAAGCTCAATCTCTGGACAGCTACATAATACATTGTACATTGTACACTTAGCTATAATGTATTTCGGCCTTTCTGATACATGGCCATGTACAGTGTAGGTCCTACCAGCGGAGCTAAAAAAATAAAAATAAAAAAGCTCAGAGTAGCTGAGTGGGTGAACCAATGCAATTTTTGGGTGAACAACAAAGCATGTTTAGACTGGCTCAAAGCCATGATTGAGAAACGAAAGGTACCAGGCTGAGTCAAGTCCTGCTTGGATTGGTTGGAAGCAGGTGGATTTTTCTATCCGTGCTGCGACCCACATTGCATGGATTGGGAACTTGTCCTTGCACAAGGGTAACATGGATGCAGCAAATGGGATTTCCTTTGGCCTCTGGTTGGTGCATCTGATCTATCCTCTCCCACCGTTTAGACTAACTTTAGGGGCTGCATCTGACGCCTGATCATGGGGTGATGGCGTCCCACGGAAGCGGAAAGGTGGTTCTTGACCCGTAGAGAAACACAGCGAGATTTGCACAAGGCCAGACAACTTTGATGAAGGTCAGAAAGAGTGCTCAACCAAGATGAGATGATGAAGCATAATACTCAATCTCAGGACACCTACATGTACATTGTACATTGTACATGTACATGTACATGTACTAACAGCAGTTACGGTCATTCTCCCAGAGTGATGCACAATGTACAATGTATTTATTCCTGGAAATGTAATACAAGGAGCCGAGCCCGCAGCTTAATATTGAGGCAGCAGCAACTGCTTAGCGAGTATTGCTACTCAGTGATTTTTGCTCTTAGTAATAGGCGGAAGCAAGCCTGAGTTGAGGCAGCAACACGGAGCTGAGAAGATCGTGGTAGTCCTCTGATTGGGGGACGAAACCGCACAATTGACGTCCATGGTCGGTTCTACTCTACCAATACTAGGGGCGAGGATTAGGTGAGCTTCATCAACGTGAGGCACGCTGTGCATGACTTGACCAAATGAACGGTTGATGTTGCTTTGGTTTGTTACTGTCTGCCTGATTAAAGGTCGGACGCTGGTTTCGAGTCCAACACGCGAAAGTGAAGATTTTAACAGCCACACGCTGATAATGCCTAATATCCACATGACTCCACTGTACATGTACACTGTACATCTACATGATGATTGTATTGTGCACGTACATGTACATGTACGGGTAATGTACAAAGCAGAAGGAGTTTATCGTTATCGGTTCATACGATGCACGAATACCCAAATAATATTGTGAGAGAGAATGTGCGTGTGTGTATGTGTGCGCGCATGTGTAGGCATTGGCGGATAATGCTCGAAAAGGTTGCAGATTCTGCCCGAAAAGCAGTGAAATTGGCAGAACCATACAAACTTTATGGCGGGCAATTCCTCGAATTCTGCTTCATTTCTTTATCCACATCAGGCGCGTACGCAGGGTCACCTCAAGGGGGGTTTTCAACCGAATCGCAAGCATTGACTCGTTTTTAAACCCTGTCTAAAGAGCCCTACAATATATATACAATGTACCCGGTTAAAACAGCTCCTTTTCGAAAATGTTTTCAATGAGTGATGTGTCGCTTTGTTTTGCTTTGATTGGTGCTTTTCCCCA